AAAAATCTGAAGGAAAAATTAAGGAAACACTCCCATTTACCACTACAACAAAAAGAATAAAATACCTAGGAATAAAGCTACCTAGGGAGACAAAAGGCCTATATGCAGAAAACTATAAGACACTGATGAAACAAATTAAAGATGATACCAACAGATGGATAGATACACCAAGTTCTTGGATTGGAAGAATCAGTACTGTGAAAATGATTATACTACCCAAAGCAAACTACAGATTCAATGCAATCCCTATCAAATTACCAATGGCAGTTTTTACAGAACTAAAACAAAAAATCTTAAAATTTGTATGGAGACACAAAAGACCCTGAATAGCCAAGGCAATCTTGAGGGAAAAAGCGGAGCTGGAGGAATCAGGCTCCCTGACTTCAGACTATACTACAAAGCTACAGTAATCAAAACAATATGGTACTGGCACAAAAACAGAAACATAGATCAATGGAACAAGACAGAAAGCCCAGAGATAAACCCATGCACATATGGTCACCTTATCTTTGATAAAGGAGGCAAGAATATACAGTGGAGAAAAGACAGCCTCTTCAATAAGTGGTGCTGGGAAAACTGGACAGCTACATGTAAAAGAATGAAATTAGAACACTCCCTAACACCATACACAAAAATAAACTCCAAATGGATTAGTGACTTAAATGTAAGACCAGACACTATAAAACTCTTAGAGGAAAACATAGGAAGAACACTCTTTGACATAAATCACAACAAGATCTTTTTTGATCCACTTCCTAGAGTAATGGAAATAAAAACAAAAATAAACAAATGGATTGCTTCCATGTCCTGGCTATTCTAAATAGAGCTGCAATGAACATTTTGGTACATGACTCTATTTGAATTACCATTTTTTCAGGGTATATGCCCAGTAGTGGGATTGCTGCATCATATGTTAGTTCTATTTTTAGTTTTTTAAGGAACCTCCATACTGTTCTCCACAGTGGCTGTATCAATTTACATTCCCATCAACAGTGCAAGAGGGTTCCCTTTTCTCCACACCCTCTCCAGCATTTACTGTTTGTAGATTTTTTGATGATGGCCATTCTTACCGGTGTGAGATGATATCTCATTGTAGTTTTCATTTGCATTTCTCTAATGATTAACGATGTTGAGCATTCTTTCCTGTGTTTGTTGGCAATCTGTATATCTTCTTTGGAGAAATGTCTATTTAGGTCTTCTGCCCATTTTTGGATTGGGTTGTTTGTTTTTTTGATATTGAGCTGCCTGAGCTGCTTGTAAACTTCGAGGATTAATCCTTTGTCAGTTGCTTCATTTGCAAATATTTTCTCACATTCTGAGGGACATATGTATAACTGATTCACTTTGTTATAAAGCAGAAACTAACACACCATTGTAAAGCAATTATACTCCAATAAAGATGTTTAAAACAAACAAACAAACAAAACCCAAATGGGACCTAATGAAAATTCAAAGCTTTTGCACAGCAAAGGAAACCATAAACAAGATGAAAAGACAACCCTGAGAATGTGAGAAAATATTTGCAAATGAACCAACGGACAAAGGATTAATCTCCAAAATATACAAACAGCTCATGCAGCTCAATATCAAAAAAACAAACGACCCAATCCAAAAATGGGCAGAAGACCTAAATTGACATTTCTTCAAAGAAGGCACACAGATGGCCAAGAAGCACATGAAAAGCTTCTCAACATCACTAATTATTAGAGAAATGCAAATCAAAACTACAATGAGGTATCACCTCACACCAGTTAGAATGGGCATCATCAGAAAATCTATAAACAACAAATGCTGGAGAGGGTGTAGAGAAAAGGGAACCTTCTTGCACCGTTGGTGGGAATGTAAATTGATACAGCCACTATGGGGAACAGTATGGAGGTTCCTTAAAAAACTAAAAATAGAATTACCATATGACCCAGCATATACTGAGAGAAAACTGTAATTCAAAAAGACACATGCACCCCAATGTTCATTGCAGCACTATTTACAATAGCCAGGTCATGGAAGCAACCTAGATGCCCATCAACAGACAAATGGATAAAGAAGATGTGGTACATATATACAATGGAATATATTACTCAGCTATAAAAAGGAACGAAAGTGGGTCATTTGTTGAGACGTGGGTGGATCTAGAGACTGTCATACAGAGTGAAGTAAGTCATAAAGAGAAAAACAAATATCGTATATTAACGCATGTATGTGGAACCTAGAAAAATGGTACAGATGAACCGGTTTGCAGGGCAGAAATTGAGACACAGATGTAGAGAACAAACGTATGGACACCAAGGGGGGAAAGTTCCGGCGGGGGGATGGTGGTGGGATGAACTGGGAGATTGGGATTGACATGTATACACTGATGTGTATAAAATGGATGACTAATAAGAAACTGCTGTGTAAAAGAATAAATAAAATTAAAAGAAACAAAAGGAAGGGAGTCATTGAAGGGAAATTACAACTCCCCAGAGAGCTCCACATGCCAGGCTCCTGGAAATTGGTCCAAGTTCCATTTGCTCTGGAGTTCTGAGAAGAACAGCAGTCCTTGTAGCTGTACTTCTTTCCTTGTTCTTTAGATTTCACCTTTACAACTTTTAAAGACTATGTTTGCATTATATGTTTTTGTAGAAAGTTTTAAAATAGAAGATTTACAGATAACAAAATTAAGTCACCCATTATTCTCCCTCTTCCCCATTCCAGAGATAATCATTTACATTATTAGTGTATATTCTTCCATTGTCTTCCTATGTGTAGAAACACGTATTTTATTTTAAAGATTTGGGTCATGCAATACGTGCATTTTTGTAACTTGCTTTTTAATCTTAACCTTATGTTCTGAGCATTTTTTTGTGTGTCATCAGGCTTGAAAATCAAGATTCCTGTGTATGCAGCAAAGACTATCATAGTGACTTAACATCATTTAACCATCCACTACATTAGACGTTGATTATTACTGCCTACGTTTGCCTTGTGTTTTCTTTTTTCCCACTGTTTATCAGAAAACAGTCACCAACCTTTTGAGTTCATATTTATCAGTCTTCCTGACTGATGTTTGACGTTATATCCAATAGTTTCCCAGGACCACATGTGATATGTGGATATATGGATACTGAGTCCCTTATCTTCTCCTCCTACTTTGTTCTCCAATTTTTGTACCCAACATTTTCCCCAAGAGTGAAGATATTGTTTTTCTTCCTTCAACCTAAGCCACATTCCTCAAAAATCCTGAAGTCTATATCACCATCTTCCAAATGTGTATGTAGGGAAGATTCATCATTTTAGTAGCTAACCTACACTGAATGTTTACTGTGTTTTCTGTGCTTAGAGGTTTATAAGAATTTTTTTCATTTAAACTTTATGATAGTAATACAAGGCAAATACTACTATTATCTTCCTCTACAGGTAAAGAAAGTGAGGCTTCTTTTGAGTAACTTGACTAATGTCACAGCTAGTAAGAGGCAAAGCTGGCCCTAAACCCAGACCTGTTTGCTTCTACATAATTTATTATTATTATTACCTAAAGTCCTTTTTTATTCAAATTTTCTTAGTTTTTGCCTAATGTCCTTTTTCTGCTCTAGGATACCACCAGGATACAATGTTTCAATGTTTCATTTAATCATGTCTTCTTGGACGTCTCTTGGCTGTGACAGTTTCTCAGACTTTGCTTTTTTTCTCTAAACTTTTTTTTTTTTTTTTTTTTTTTTTTTTACAATATAGTCACCTCTTATCCTCTACAAGACCACAACAATCACAATTTATTGTGCACTGTTGAGAGTGGCTTTGGTCCTCACAGCAACTCTCCAAAGCTATTATAATCCTCATTCTACAGTTGAGAAAACCGAGACTTAGAGATGAGAACTAATGATGGAGGTCACGAAGCTAGTAAGTGATGGAGCTGGGATCCTAACCCGGGACTGTCTGACCATTAGTGTCATGTTCTTTTAAATACTCTAATTTAGGTGACTTATGTACATGTGCTTTTAAAAAATAATATTAAATGTTAATAGCAGAGTTAGAGTGCCATAAAGATCGATATTTGGTCCAAGTCTCCTATTGCCCAAGCTCCTTCTACAGATTCCTCAACAAAAGGTTCTAAGCACATGGTCAGAAGCCATCAGTATCACTCAGCTTACTATTTCACAAAACATCCAGTCAAGTTGTGAACAATTCTGATCACGAGAGCTCTGTGTTCTTCCAAATGGTTTTTCCTCTGGTCTTAGTGTGGTTCTCAGGAGCCAAACACAACCATCTAAACTTCTACTAAGAACTCTGCAGTCGGCCACCATGTCTCCCCCTAGACAATCCTTTCCTGGAAGAGCGTGGCACAGTATGAACTTCCTTCAGCATCTTAATAGCCCGATTTAGACCACAGAATCTGTGGTCTGCAGAATCTCTATTTAGATGCAAGTCCTTATAGTGCATTATAGCTCTGCAACGTGCATGCCCTCTACAATCAGAGCTCAGTAATCGCCCTGCTGACTCCTTGCTTACTGGTAACCTCTTTCTCACCCCAGCGCTATCACCCCTCTCCTCCTCACCCCCACCCTCCCCACACACGACATTTCCAAATCATCAGGCCAAAGGATCCTAACACTGACACCCTTCCAACCCTCTAAATGGGGGAGCTGTCTCTAGAAAACCCCTTGAGACACACGTTTGGAAGGTGAGTGAAACATAAGGGGGATACTTTCTCTGAGTTTGACAAACAGGTTAAAGGGCAAGGAGAGTGAACCATGACCGCCCGGAGACAGATCCTTTCTCCCCCACTTCCCCACAGCGCTGAGGCAGACAAGAGTTCCCCGCTGGATGTGCCCAGGACAGACAGCGCACGCGGGACGGGTCAGGGACGACGCGCCTGAGCAGGGCGGATTCCCAGCAGCTGGTTTCCCCGAGAGTCCGCGGTGGGGCCTAGGGGACGGCACAGCGACGCTAAGGCGCCAGCAGCTGCCTCGCCAGCTGCCCCCGTGCCCGCCCCTCAGACTGGTGCTCAGAGGAAATCAGAGGGCGAAAGAAGCTGGCAAGAGTGTCAGAAGATACCGTAAAGGAGTCCTTATCAAAGTCCTCTAGGTGTTTCTCGCCGGCCGGTGCCTGCGCTGCGTTGTCAATACCATGGACAGCACCCGCGAACCGACTCAGGGGCGCCTGGACGCCGCTGGCTTCTGGCAGGTCTGGCAGCGCTTTGACTCAGAGGGTGAGTAAAGCCACCTGTACAGCCTTGCTGAAAGGACCTAGAGCTTCCTCTTCCCCATACGTCTTTCCCTGCAGAAGTTGTCTTCCAGCGCTGTTAATGCAATATACCTAACGCAGTATACCTAACAGACGTCTGGTATACTGGAGCTGCACTTCTTGGTACCTTGTGAACGGTCAGGGTGGGAGGAGGGACCTGAAATTACACCCCGGCCCCCACCCCCAACGTGTGTGTGTGTGTGTGTGTGTGTGTGTGTGTGTAGTGATATACCGTATATATAATGACAAATATTTTATATATTAGAGGCTTGTGGGCTGACACTCGGGTATCTGAAGTCAGCCCTCTATGACATTTTTACTCAAATGCTCATTTTTACTCAATGACTTCGTTGTGTAACCCCCAGTCTCTCAAAGAGAGGGTGAATTTTATCAGCTTTCAAAAAGACACTACGCTCACTCCCAAAAAAACTATTTGAAAAGAACTACTTACATTTGCTTTGTCTTCATTAAAAAAGAAACATAAAGGAAATATCTAAAGTGTGTGTTTTAACCTTGCAAACTAAGATTCAATACTTACATCTCTTAAATTTTTCCAAGACTGCAAAATCCTTGGGTTAGAGTTTATTCTAAAACTCATGTTTATTTGTGGATTAAAATTCATGTATAAATAGCTTTCCTTTCCCCACTATTTGTACAAACCACAGCACAAAGCATTGACTCTCAGATATGTATTTGCTATTCACATCCATGTCATCTAGAGGTAGATACTAGCACTTCATTAGAGTTACAATAGATAGTGTCCATGGGGATTTTATAAATTTGAGATTAAAAACAAATTTAGATGTTAAGTGTTAAATACTAAATGTCACACGTTATTCTGTGTAAGTGACTATTATTTGTGGATACCTTCTTGCATTTAGAAAAAGGTTACATAGAAGAGAAGGAGCTGGATGCTTTCTTTTACCACATGTTGCCGAAATTTTGTACTGATGTAAGTACTTGTGCCACTAAGCATTGATTTATGTTCTCTTAGTGAATTCTAAAAAGCATCCAAGTCTTATGTTGATTTGTACCTATTAATCGCATCTGATCTCTTTTCTTCCTTGCATGTAATTTTTCTCCCTCTCCTAGCAGCACAGAGGGATTTAGGTAGGTTTTATGAGGTTCAGCTGTAGCATTTGACATGCTGGTCACTGACTTTTAGTGTGACATCTGTCATCCACTCAGAGATTTTAACTGTAGATTCAAACAACCCTGTTTTGAACGTCTCCTTGGTTATGTCTCTGCTAATGGATTTAAACCTAGAGATAAGGTAGCTCACTTTGCTCAGAAAGGTGGAAAAGATGTTAAGAGCTTTTGAGGCTCTGGGTGTTTAGTGCCTTTAGTATTACTTGGATAGCAAACCACAAACAAACCATTCAAAAGCATTTTTCATTTTGTTAGAAAGGTTACAAATTTCTTAAGAAATGGCAAACCAGAAAATAATAAACATTCCCAGAGCCCAAGTATAAATGTAAACCAATCCATCCAGTGTCCATATCCCTCCCTGACGGTAAATCTAGCCTTGAGAGATGCAGATTACCTTTTGATGAGCCCTGTACCAAAGCAGAGGAAAAATGCACACAGAGACGCACCAGCCTGGGGCTGGGATAACCTGGTAAAGACTCCATCAGGGGACACATGGGAAGAGGAGTAGCTCTGGAGACAATAGTGTTTAAAACGAATTGTGGCGACAGCTTATCCTCAGCCATAGTTGTTTACATGGAAGAATACTGGAGTGCATCACACTTTCACGTAGGAGCCCAGTGCGGAGAACAAGCAGCTTGGGGAAGGGCAGTCAGATCAGAATCAGAGAGGCTGCCATCTGCCTCTAACAGCCACACACAGAGCTCGTAGTCACCCTCTCTCGCCCGCAGCCCGTCTGCCTCTCGTTTTCTATCTCTCTTCTGATCTCTTTCTGTCTCTGCCCATTTCTGTTTCTCATTCTGTGTTTCATGGCTCTCCTCTCCCATCATCTTTTTTTTTCCCATCATCCCTTGACTTTCTCTGTGACTTCTCTTTCTCTCTCTCTCTCTCAGCTCTGTTTCTCATGTCTCTCCATCTGTCTTTGTCCCTCTCCTGTCTCTGTTTCTCCTGCTTTCTATCTTCAGTCTATTTCTCAAGCTCTCTCATTGTCACTCCTCTCTTTTCTTCTCTCTTTCCTATCTCTCTTTGCCCTTCATTTCTTTTATCAGTTTCTCTCCTCTCATTTTCTCTTTCCTTCCCTTATCTCTCTGTCTGTTTCTCTGCTTTGCTGCCACTTACTACTGTAAATGCAAAGGCTCGTGTCGTTCCAGAACCCATGGATCTGACGCCATTTTGTCAAACATGACAGGAGTATTTGAGGAAAACAAAAAGACGGAGGCAAAACCATTCAAAGTCTTGCAATAAACTGGATGGTCAGAAACTAAACCCCAGAGACTTGGAACTTCACACCTTTTCAGAAAGCTCCTTGCTTTAGTGATTTAAAGGAGGAGAAAAGTTGCCGTCACTATTGAAACTGAAAGTGTCTAATTTTCAGTCATGGGATGAGGGGTAGGGCTACTCAAACACTGGGGTCTGCTCTAGACTGAAGACACTGCGAGCTGCCTTCTTCTGGGGCTTGGGCTGACTTCAAAGGCATCGTTCCCATCAGTGAGGGAGAAGGTGGATGCCATCTCCCGTAGCTTGCCTGATCTTATCATCACCCCTCCCTCAGATCTGGCCCATGGCCTCACCTTCTCACACATGGACAGGCATGGTCCTCGGAGGAAAGGAAACAACAAATGACTCACCAGTCTGCTGTGCAACTGTGTTCAGTGCAGGCATTCCTGAGTCCAGAGGTGAAGGGGTTGGAAAGCTGCAGAGTCCTTAGGCCAGTGAAAATAAAATTTTGGTGTGCCTAAGAATTAACTGTGTTTGTTAACGTGCAAAGCCCCAGGTCCCACCTCTTAGGTATTTCAGTACATCTGGGGGTCTGTCTGGGGTCTTGCATTTTAAAAGCACCCTGAGTCACACTGCATCTTCTTTCACTCTGTTCCCTCCAGGAACAGTGATTACCTGTCAGACAGGGGACTGTAATATAATTAGGCCAGTCCTGCTGAGTTGTGGCTGTAGCCCCAGGTACCTCTCCTCAGCACTTGGCAAAGGAGACAGGTTTTGGAGCCAGGGGATAAGCCGTTTAAACTGTTAATCAGAAATGCTGTCATCTGCCATTGTTTCCTTTCAAAATGCTGAGGCATTACCCCAGGGAACATAGTTACAGACACCTTCACTGGGCGTTCCATGATACCGGGACAAGTATGATTAAGGAAACTGTTCCTAATTCTGGACTTCTTTTCCTGCTGAGAAATGAATAGGCCCTAAGTATGTCCTTAACAAGAGGACATGTCCCTCTCAGCGGAGGGATAATCACAACTTGTGACACCTACTTTTAATCAGTGATGCCCCACTGAGTACAGAAGCAGCAGCGGGGGGCCTCCATGACCAGGCAGCCCCTCACTCTGGTGTTTAAGTGTGACAAGCAGTTCATCAGAGGCCTGAATAGCTTTACTTTCCTCCCCTGATTAGCGAGTCACAGAGACCTTGGGGGAAGGAATTTGAAGATTTCTAACAGCAAGCTGCCTGCTAGTCAGTCTTGGAGAGCAGCCGGCCTGCTTGTAATTACCTGGTCCTCACAGCCTCTGAGGGGCTTGACCTAATGGAACCATCGGCTGCTCTTGCTGCTTCTGTTACTCACCCCCCTTTTATCTCCGCCTTTTGTCTTTTCAAATACTCAGAACTGGCCTCTGAACCAGGTCCAGATCTAGCCAGTCTGTTGCATAGCATTGCTTTCTGGGGCTGTGCGTGCATTCTTCACGTACAGATTGTAGCACATCCTGGGCCTGTTTCAATGCTTCAGAGATGATAAATACTCTGCTGGGGCCTAGAGTCTCAGACAAGGTGAGCAGGGTTGGTGCTGATGGGAAATTACAACAGAGGGAGCCCTAGACTCTTTTGCTTTCGGTCCAAGGGATAAGCATGGACTTTGGAGTTAGAGGTCTGAGAGGATGGAAGTCAGGTTTCTGTGCCTTCAAACTAAAGGTCGAAAGCCAAGCTGAAATCCAAAGTGAAGACCCACTTTCTTGCGTGACTTCCATGGCGATTTTCCTGTATGATGCACATACACACTCATACAAGCCACACAATCTACGGCGCCAAGACTACAGAGGCTAATTTCTCGGTACTTAGTGGAGTGTCAAATGAGGAAACCTGGTTGGCAGGGATAGTGTAGTAGTATTAGGGAGAATAAATTTAGTATAACTGATCTAGTCTGAAGTCTAGGAATACGGCACTGTTTGGGAGTATCTGTGCCTCTCAGCCCCTACGTCAAATTCATTCTCCATTGTTGATTATACCTGTCACCTTTCTTTGTAATAACCCTGCCGCCCACTGATGAAGAACAATTTAATGTGTGGAAAAGGTTGTACAAGGAAGGGATATGTGACGTCTTCAGTAGTTCAATGATTATTTCTTTGGTTTCCTCTTTAATTATTTTCCCCTAATTATTCTTTTCCTTGGTGAGACCAAGATTAAAAGAATAAACTCTAGCAAACTGGGGACCCAGAAGAGCTGGACTTTCCAATTAGAAAAGAATAAAAAAAACCTCTGAGTTCTTGGGAAGAAAGTTTATATGTTCATTACAATACCATCTTTTGTCACAACCAAATATAGAATGATGTTCAAATTCATTCTATCAACAGTCTAGTCTCTAAGCTTCTCTTCATTCATACTTTAGGAGCTCACTAGCTACAAGTCTTACCTAGTTAGGATTCTGATTAGTGGTTATTTGTTTAAGAAATCTCTCTCTCTCTCTCTCTCTCTCTCTCTCTCTGGTGTGCAACTTGGTGGGATCACTTTCAGTGGCTAAGTAACTTACTTTCCAGGTTAGACTAACATAATTATCAGGCTATATACTCTGAATATTTGATATCCTAACTACATTTTTGGAATCTCAGTGGCTTTAATGTGGTTCTGTCTGGCCCACTATAGGATGCAGTCATGGAAGAAAATGTGCAGAAGATGAAACAACAATTTACGTCTGCCCACAATGTCTCTAAAGACGGTCGCATACAGATGAAAGAGGTACCTTTTATGACTGTAACTTTCTTGGGCTATAATTTTTTCTGAAGGATAATGAAAGTTTTACATTTGATTGGAAAATTAGAACCCTCTGCAAGGCAGCTGGGTTACATAACATTTCTGAAGTACTCACTTTTCCTTTTTCATCAGCTTAAGAACAAAGAGTATATGATGCTTCCATCATTTTATTTAGGTCAATCAATATTTATACTTATTTTATAATTGGGGAATTGATATGCTGGAGGCTTTTCAGTTACTTGATCTAATATTTGTCTCCTTCCACAGTGTCCTGTTCAAATTCAACCTTGACATAAGGGAAAACATACTGACAATAAATGAGTTTAAAGTTCAGTATCAGTTCCCAATGGAGATTGGAAAGATCAGTCCGTGAACGTCATTAAAAACAAAACAGAAAGCGCCGCCTCTACTTCAACTCAAGCCACACTTACTAAGTACCTACTAAAGCGAGGAGCTGTGTTAGACATGCGGCGCCAGGCACAGTCTATCTTTAACCTGATAATTTTTCCTTCCAGTTACAAAAAGGTTTCCAGTTTAGAAAGGATTTCCACACATACTATGTTACTTTATCCCCACAGTAGCTATAGAAGATGGACATGGAACATTAGCTCTATTTTACTGATGAGGAAGCTAAGTTACTTTCCTAGCATCGTATGGCCAGTAAGTGGCACTGGATTAAGCTGTAACCCACTTATAGGTATGAATCTATACAGGTTTATTCTATAGAGTTATAAATCCATACATAAAAATGAGCTGCTATGAAAGTAAGATATTTCATAGACAAAACTGCCTGCTGGACATATGACCTGAAACCTGAAGAGCTAGTCTCTTAGTGCTGTCATACTTAGTCATTATTGTTGGTGAAAATAGTAATTTTTCTTCAAAAAGTTATGATAACAAGGCAAGATTATGTCTTCTTATAAAAAATAGACATGTTCACACCAGGAGGCTGCCTTTTCAGAAAACTACTAAGCTAAACTCCAGATTTGAGTGTAGCTGTTTCCAAAGTTTTCACTAAAAGGCAAAAATTATTTATATAACCAATAATTGCATTATAATTGATGTAAACGTTATCAGTGTATTGATTAATGGAAAAGTAATTGTACGCATCAAGGTAGAATAACCAAAGTATTCATAATTACATGTTCACAGTTACATTCTCTAGCCCACAGAACGGAGCATAGCGTATAGTGGCACTCAATAAATATTTGTTAACTTAATAATAAATGAATGAAACATGGTAAATAATGAAAAACTATGCCATTATCTTACCAATTACTGGTAGACCTTCCTGAAGCAATTGGGAACTTGGCAAAAACTTTGGCATCCGTGCCAACCATTCTGTCATGGAGTCCTGCCAATGAGCATAACTGAGGTTGTCTGTAGAGAAGCTGATGGTATAGGACTGCTTTGGTCCCCTGAAAACCTCATGAGTCTGTGAGTGTAAAGAGTAGCAAGGTCTCTCTACTGTCTCCTGCTATACCACTGGCCATTTCTCTTACTCCAATTACAGGTACTTGTGACATAAAATCAGCTCACCTGAACACATTTGAGCTATTTTAGCACAAAACAAAATGGGAAAGGAGTCGCATCTAAGAGCCAAAGTGAAGCTTGGGGATGATCTGTGTCCAGGGCTCCTCTGTGCCACTCTGGTCAAACTGAAGACGGAGTGCGGTCTAGAGACTTAGGACTGGTGAATTACATTTTAATTTGCTTTCTCAGCCTGTGCCACCCCATGCGAAAACACACTTAGTCCTGAAGAGCAGCTCGCAGCTCACCTTGTGTGGTGGGTAGGAAAAACACAAAGTCGACAGGTGAAATATGAAACCTTGGCCAAGTGATTTCATCTCTCTGAGCCTCAAGTTCATCGTCTTCATCCACAGAGCAGTTACCACGGACTAACTTTTTAATGGGTATCAGGGACTTTGCTAAACAGTTTATAAACAGTGCCTCACCTGACTTTTAGTCTTCACATAAGCACCAGGATATAAATATTATTATCTCCATTTTACAGATGAGGAAATTGAGGCACAGAGGTATCAATTAAATTGTCCAAGATCAAATAATAGGCAAATACGGAGAAGGAAGGATCCACACTAAAGCCAACCACGTACTGCTTTGTGCTGCCTCCCATTCTTATTAAAATGCCAATACTCATATTTACCTGAAGGATTGGTGTGAGAATTTAATGAGATGATAGATGAGAAGGACATTGCCAGTGCCTGCCATGTAGTAGGTATTCAATCTATGACAGCTGTTATTAACACGATGTGCCCTTGAGCTGACCTACATCCAACTAGAGAATATGAATGGGAGTGTGGGCTAATCATTCCTACAACCTAGCAGAAGCTTTTACTCTGGACTTCCTCCGTAGCACTGAACAAGATGCTGGGAGAACTATGGTTATAGAAGAAATGGCCATTGTTTATGGGGGACAATTCAGAAAGGAGACAGTATACACTGAAATACCATAGGTTTGGCAAAGAACCCAGCCAAACGTGCCTATGAGCTGAAACAAGTATTACCATCACATAGGGGAAGACATGTTACCTTTGTTCATGGGAGCAAGGGAAGTCAGTCAGTAGAACTGGTGCTCATATAGACGGCTGGATGGTTAAATTTTCCACAAGTGAACCAACTTTGAAAGTATCATATAGATGCTGATAATATAAAAGAATATAAACCACAGCCAACTCAAGAATCAAGCCAGACAGCCATCATTCCTGATTGTGTGTACGGCACCGAAGTGATCTGTATCCACAGCATCTCACCAGCACAGCACAGGGGTTAAAAGTGTGGGCTTAGCTGAGGTCCTGACTCCACCACTTACTAACTACATAATGACGGCAAGCTCCTTATCTCTGGGAAGCCCAGTTTCCTTAACTAATAAATAATAATAATGATGTGTTATGCACCCTATAGGTTGTTCGGATTAAATGAGTTAGCATATGTAAGTATTTAGAGCAATTCATGGCACATATAAAAATTACTGGGTATTTTTATTTTCTACTATAATTACAGAGTTGTTAATATAAAATTGGAGCCTCTCAGAATAAGGTCTGTAATATTTTAAGCACTAACACATTTATTATTAAATAATAATAAAGATGATGATTATTATTTTGGATTGTAAGCTCATGGAAGACAGATACTCATAGTGTTTCACACCTAGAAGGGTGCAATACTTCTTGAAAGAATCAATGAATCCAAAATGACAATCAAGGGCGCGAAACTACGTGTTGGGCTCTCCATCCTGAGAGATCCAAGCCCTTCTGCCCTCTAATATGTTCCTTGATGCCTTTTACCCACGGAGCACCGGCCAGTGTCACCAGCTGCTATTTCCCCCTTTTCCTTTAGCTTGCCTGCATGTTCTTGTCCGAGGATGAAAACTTTCTTCTGCTCTTTCGCCGGGAAACCCCCTTGGACAGCAGTGTGGAGTTTATGCAGGTAAGCGTTTGGTTGTGTCTCTATGGAGGGTGAGGCCAGGATTCCAGCCACCTGCTGTGGCTGCCACCACTCCTGCCCAGTCCCCAAGGGAGAGCTGTCCACAGAAGACAAGACCATGCAAAGAAGCCCTTGTGTGGAGCCTGGACTTTGGCCCCAAGCCCCAATGTGCTCTCTCAGTGTGCTGACCCGGGCTGCCCCTGAGCTGACACACTCCTTAGCCTGGGCTAGAGGAAGGCTTAGACGAGGGGCCCGGCAGGTACCTGAGGCATGTAATGGGAGGGTAGGGAGGGGGCCGTGGAGCCTGGAGAGCACATGCCCATCAAGAGCCCAGAGTCCTGTGAGCTCCAGCCAACTGCTGCCTTCTGAGAATGCAGCCTAGGCATCTAGACTCTATGGGAAACTACTTTTTTTTTTTTTGCGGTACGCAGGCCTCTCACTGTTGTGGCCCCTCCCGTTGCGGAGCACAGGCTCCAGACGCGCAGGCTCAGCGGCCATGGCTCACGGGCCCAGGCGCTCCGCGGCATGTGGGATCTTCCCGGACCGGGGCACGAAGCCGTGTCCCCTGCATCGGCAGGCGGACTCTCAACCACTGCGCCACCAGGGAAGCCCGAAACTACTTATTTTTAAATGTTGGCGACTGATTCTAGTTTTGAAGGCACAGTATGGTCAAAATACAACTGATTAGAGGGCTGATCCAGCCAGCAGGCATCTCTTTGCAATCACTGTGCCAGCATAAAACCAAAAGGCAGAATCGATGGCTCGTCTTATCTCCTCTTTCAGCCTCTAGGTGTTACTGTCTGTGGGTGAAAAAAGACCAGGGAAGGCAGAGCAGGGTGTCTTCAAGGCCAGAGCGGCAGATTCAAGACAGCTCCTGCACCCAGGGCCCCATTCCTGAAAGACTTACCAGGTCCCCACTTAGGAGATAATAACTTGGCACCCTTGTGCACTACTTTATTTATCTTCGGGCCAAGTGGAAGTTATGAGAAATGGAGCAAGCACTTGCATAGACAATTCACAGAAGAAATATGCATAGACAATTGATATATAACAGTAACCAAAGAAATGCAAATTAGAAACAACTAACTCTTCCAAAGTGGTAAAGACTTTAAGAGGATCAACAAAAAGACACAGCACTGGCAAGCAAGCACTGAGACTGTTGCTCTTGCTATCCTATTCATACAATTCATTAGTTCCACAAATACTTAATGTGCCCCTGCAGTATGCCAGCAACTGTTCTACGCCCTGGAGATTCATGAGAGAAAAACCCCATTGTGGAACTTCATGCATCACTGAAAGTCAAGTTTTCAAAGACTATCTAATGACAAGAAGGAAGTGCATTATGGTGTTAAGAAACAAAATTGTATATGCGTTATGATCTTAACTTTGCTTAAAGAATTATTTACCCTAACACCCATGTAAATAAGACAACGGGTAAATACACACTAGATAAATATTGGGTTTTTTAGGGGTAAGATTTTGGATAATATTTATGTTCCCTGTACTTCTGTATTTTCCAATCGTGTCGAATCATTATTCTATTATTTACAGATTATTTTAAATGACATTTTCAAAATAATTTTAGTTGTGTTTAAGAATGCTCACAGAAAATTTTAAATGAAAATAATAGACTATCCAAGTGTGCAGGCCATATGACTTCCCCTTCATTTTGTCACATATATAATAGAAACACAATGAAAACGAAACACATAGAAATGACAAGTGACTATCTTGGGGTAGGAATTTCAGAAGATTGTAGTGTTTTTTATTTCAGTAATTTCGTACAATAAATATGACTTGCTTTTATAATCAGCAGAAAGTATTAAAATATTATGCCTGTGTAGGCTTGAATAATCTTGAGAAATGGGAAAAAGAAAAGTTCCATATGCCATTTCCATCTTTTTTTTTTTTTTAAAAACTTTCTCCATTTTTCCTCCCTCCCTTCTAGTTTGTCAATTTCTTCTGTCAAGAAGTGCTTTCTCTTTCTCTACCCAATTAAAAAAAATATTTTGGATTCTTGAATTCTTTTTTTAAAATTAAATTTGTTATAACCTATGTACTTTCCTATATTTAAGAAATCCTACCTTAATGTCTTTATATTCCCCCTGAACTACAGGACCTGAAGACACTTTAACTATCAGCTCACTTGCCATTATTGTCCAGAATATTAGTTCTATCTTGTTTTCTTTAATCCCACAAATTTTATGCTAACAAGATGTTTGCATTTGCCCACATGTTTCCCATTGTGTTTGTACAGCATTCCTTCTTCATCTTAGATTTTCCTCCTTTGTGTTCCTCCTTCCTGGAGTATATCCTTTACCAAGAGTCTGTTGGTAATAAACTCTGTTTTTGTTTGCCTGGAAACCTTTTTGCTTTCATTCTTTAAAGACAGGCATATATAGTAGTCACATAAAGATCTTTGGCCCACCAATAGCTCAGTTGCAGTAAAACTGTAAGGTAAGTTAGATGGAAAATGTTTGGAGAACAGCATAAAAAAGCAGGTTAAAATGTTTTTGTTATTTGAAATTCTCATTCTTAGTTCTGGTATAGTCACACCATTAAAGTTAGGATATAAATCACATTTAACCAGGTGATTTTCTAAGCCTGGTTAGGTTCAGGCAGAAACGTTGGTGACAGGGACTGAAAGGGGCAATGTTTCTGAACACTTCTCACTAAGTATCAGCATCTCCTACTATCCCTGCAGGATATTCAGGCAGGACCCTAGTTGTGATCTAGAATTAAGGTCCCTGCAGTTGATGACTCAGGAAACCCATTCCACATCAATGAAACATTTGTCAATTAAAAAAAAATACTTAATGCTACTTTTTCATTCTGTATAGGAGTTAGGAAACTTGTTAACTTGTGAGGCTTGGATATGGAAAAATCAGAGGTGGTCAAAATCACACCATTTACTAAAGAAAGCAGTTCAATGTTTCCTTAAAAATATTCAGCTGTTCTGTCTTCCAGTTTAAGTAACTGTACCTTCAGCTGGCTGAATGCTGTTTTTCGGCCACACTGCACAGCATGTGGGATCTTAGTTCCCCGAGCGGATATCGAACCCGAGCCACCTGCATTGGAAGCACAGAGTCTTAACCACTGGACTGCCAGGGAAATCCCATGAATGCTGTTCTTAAACCAGTGAAAGGGTTGGCTTGCTACTGGGAATTATCAGAGATGTTTTATTCCCTTTACCTGGAGCCAAGACCACAAAGGCAAGATTCCTTAGGGGCCCTTTCTGCCGTGCAATTTATTTTGGGGAAGTTCACCTTTGCATTAAGGTTATTGCTGTTCGGGGTTTTAGTCTTATGGAGGTGCCTCAGTTTGACTTCTCACCTTGGGTGGCCCCAGGATTTGTCTCCTGTCTACCTTGTGTGCAGTTTCCTGATAAAGCTACAGGCTAAGTTATCAGAGATCAGTAGATGTACCTAGGATAGACTTTGGTTTCTGTTTTGTGTTTTCCTATCATGTCAGACCTCTTAGATGTCCCCTCACTTTCTTGCCAGCTGAGCTATGTATGTAAGGAGTTGCTTTTTAGAGTACTCTGCATTTTTAGGAATTTAGTACAAAGAAGATTTCTTGGTTTGCCATATTGCCTCCCACTGAAGGCCATCCCTTGATATCTTTCCATTTTGAACTTTCCATAGCTCCCTTTCAGTGAGTGCACTGTGGTCCTCCTAAGTGGCTCTAAGAGAATGCAGTGAGTCATTTCTAGTGAGTTCTGCCCAAACAATAGCTGTCACCAAAGAAAGCCTAAAATTCTCCATGCAAAGTCTTAGTTGCACCCAGTTAAGTACTATTATCAGATGCTGAACCATAGTAGACAGCAGCATAAGTTGACCCCAAATTATTTGAGGGTAAATGGATTAATGGCTTTTGTGTATTTCAGATTTGGCGCAAATATGATGCTGACAGCAGTGGCTTTATAACAGCCGCTGAGCTTTGTGTAAGTGTTGCCAGGAGCTGTGTCTGGGTGAAGGGCGGGTTTGCTCATCGCTGGGAATTTGATATATATGTATCATGAGACTGATTTCTGTGTTTCCAAGAAACATGGATATGAATTTGTCACTTAAAAAAACTGATTCATGTTTAGAAGGTTTAGAAACTGTATGTTGGATTTATTGCTTGCTAAATGCATTTCAGTTCCTTCCTATAACAAACGGATCACAATTCTTAAAATACAGCCTCTTGAGATTTTTAGATTTTTATTTGCTCACTAGATAAAATGCAGCTCTTTTCTTGATGCCACAGAACTTCCTCCGAGACCTCTTCCGCCACCACAAAAAGGTCATTTCTGAGGCTAAGCTGGAAGAATATACTGGCACCATGGTGAGTAACTGAGCAATGCGATCTCCATGAGGACAGCTTCTCCGCTGCCTCCTCGGGGCCCAGAAACATTGTCTGGTACAGTGGATGATTCTACTCATTTAGCAAGTTGATTTAGAGCAATTGGGAATCAGATAGATGGGAGATGTGTGTCCCACCTCTGCCATCTTTAGCCATGGCCTTGAGAAACAGTCCAGGCTCTCAACTTTATTTACTTCATCTGACAAATGGAGATTAAGAGTATCTAGTTACTGCGAGGGCAAGTGAGTGGATGCATATGCAGCACTTTGCAGAGCATCAGGGGAATAATAAATGTTCAGTACGTGGTAGCTCTTCCGGTAGCGGTTGTTGTGGCCCTTGTTGTCATGATTTCACTCGCCCCTCATGCCACATGACCCCAGGACTATTTCAGTGTCAAAGCTCCCTGGAAAATGGTGAAGTAGGAGAAGCTGCCTTTGGTGAACTCATCCTCGTATTCTGTTTCAGTTCCTAACTTGATGCTTTTCTCCCAGTGCTAATCAACACTCTGTATTGAACTGGATCTGGCTTCTCTACCATTTATCTCCCCCCGAGCTCCTTCCCATCCCCAGATGTGTGCCTCATTCCAATCAAACTCTGTAGGTTTCTTAATTAACAAGCAAGGAAATTGCTGGTAAAGGTCAATTTACTTTTTTAACTTTTTTTTACAAATTACTTGTAAAAGTACTTTACAATTACTTGTGCAATTGTTACACTTATTATAGAAAGAGCTCTTGAGTAGACGCATCTTACTGAACCTTCCGGTGAACAGCCACGGAAGCGTATCACTGAGAAGAGTTTTATGGATCCCTGTTAAAACGTGTACCACTAGGTTCATCTATTTAGGCCTTTAAATGATGTTTCCAAATACTGTATTCATTCTAACAACTCCTTTATAGCACTGGCATTGTTCCTGTTCCTTTGTGTATCTGATGATTGAGGCTTGGAAAGGGTAAGTGACTAAGTCACCACCAAGTTGAATCCCTAGACTCGTTTTATAAAAATCAGATTAACTGGGAAAGATTAAGTTGCCTAGCCTAAGGCACCAGTTACACTGGAAGTTGGGCTCTCCTGGCTTTCAACGCTGCATCTTCCTGGCTCTCTCTCTGTACTCTGACTCCTCCAAATGCTGCTTCCAGCCAAGGACATTAGCCCCGGGAAGGAAGAATGTGCTCTTGACCATGACACCTTGTAAATGGCCTGGACAGGAGCAAAGCTGATGCCAAGGACAGAGTCACAGCGCAGGCCAGGGTCTCAATCAAGGAAATTATCTGGCTTTCTACTATGTTGACTTGTCGTAACAGCATGCAAAATGCTGTTTGAAATCCTGAGTAAATAGGTACTTAGCACTAAGGAGTGAAAGTTCCAGTGAAACCCTCTAATAGAATGAATAATCTGAAAAAGGAAATTAGACTGAAAACTGCCTGGGGGAGAGAATAACAAGGAGATTATTCTTCCAGTTGGGCATTTTTTTCAACATTGATTTAACGATGTTAGCACTGGCTGTTGTTATCTTGATTTTATTAATGTATAAAACAGGCCCTACACAATGAAATGCTTGCATTTAGAATCTCCAGCATGTTTCCAGTATTTCTTTGAATACCTTTGACTCCGAGGGGCTTCCCTCCACTTCCAACTAGAATACTAAGCCACTGCTTTCTGACTTTTTAACACAGCTTGGCTATTTTTTCCTTACTTTTCTCCACCTGGTTCTTGCTCATCCTTCAACATTTAGTTAGACGTCATCTTGCCCTAGAAGATCTTCCATAACCTCCTTCTATAGTGGATCCAAGTGCCTCTCGTCTGTGTCCCTATATTATCTTGTGTATTTCACTGTGGTAACATCACAGTCATCCATGTAATTCATTCCACAAATATTCCTTAAAATCTGCTATGCCTCAGGCACTCTTCTAGTCATCAAGGATTCAACAGTGAGTGAAACAGACAAAGGAGAGACTGACACTAACAATAAACACAATAAATAATAAATTACATTTCATGATAGAGGGTAATAGTGTGATGGAAAAAATTGAAAAGTAGACCAGGCAGTGCCAGCAGGGCAGCTAGGATGGGAGCTTGGGGAGGTGTAATTTTCAATAGGGTGGTCAGGGGAGGCCCTTCAAGAAGATGCAACATGAGAAAGGACCGAAGGTGCAGCCAGCAGAGTCCCTGGGTCAGGGGTGTGCCGGGGATTTCCAGGAACAGGAAGAGACCAGTGTGGCTGGATCAGAGTAAGCAAGGATGAGATGTAGGCCAGACCAGGTTGGGCTTTTGGGGCCATTGTGAGAACTTGGGGTTTTAGTTGGAGGGAGATGGAGAGCCACTGGAGGATTTGAAGCAGAGGATGCCATGATCTAGCTGCTGTGTTGAGAAGAGCCCGAAATGGGCAAGGAGGGAATCAGGAAGACCTGTTAAGAGGCCATTGCTCCATCCAGGTGAGAAAGGATGGCAGCTTGGACCAGGGTTGGGTAGCAGAGGAGGTGAGAACTAGATCTGTCGGAAGACGGAATCAGTAGGGTTTCCTGATGAAGCAGCTGGGAGTCAAGGATGACACTGCCACTGTCTATGGATCCTGTACTCCACTAGGCTGTGATTCCTCAAGGGCAAGGTGGCATCTTATCTTTGCGTTCTCAGCCCTCCCACGGAGCCTGGCACACAGTGGGCTCCTTAATGTGAATTGTCTGAACTGAATTTTCAGTTATTACCTCATAAACAGCTATGAATAAACCCTAACAATATGACTAAAATTTGCCCTTGGGACCCTCCTGCCTCCCCTGTCCGTGTTCCTTGGGACCCTCCAGCTCCATCACGACTCTCGATCCCTCTTGAGGTGCCTCGCATACTGCATACTGCACATCGCAGCATTTTGCCCAGACCCAGCTTTCCTCAAGCAGTGCTTCATGTTCCAAAATTCTCCTTTTTCTCTTTCCTTGTTTAAAACCAGACCCTCCAGGGCAGAACCAGAAAGGGAGCCTGGAAGTGCTGAGCTCCCTCCTTATGTCTCTCAATGGGGTCCTTCATCACAAAGAGTCACCCAGAAGGATCCCAACCAGGCAGTGGGTAGGAGCCGTGCTGAGCCCAGGGGACAGAGACAGACAGGGAGATGGGAGCCCCGAGCTGACGACGGGAGGCGGGAGGGACAGGAGTGAGGGCTAGAGCTGGAGACTTGGAGACAGAGCAGAGCAAATCGAGAAGGGACAGTCAGAGCAGGGCGAGCCTAGTATATGCCCCTGTGGATCTGCAAGTCGCGTTACTCTGCTCCTTTTCTTAAGCTGGGTCTGAGATGGTTTTTCTGGGCTGAGAGGTAGGGTCTCAAAGTGACCGAGAATATCCCCTCCCTCACCAAAACCCCACTCTCTTAATGCTGCTCTGTCAGGTTAGAATGTGCTCTGGTAAGCTAGTTCATACAAAGATATGAGTTCATTCCTTCAACAAATATTTAGGGAGAACCTACCAAGGAAGATACGGTCTCTGACCTTATGGAGTCTTCCAACTGGGAGGAAATTTGGTAAGAACGGGAAAGGGAGCAAACATCCCCTCTGGTCCCTCCCTTTCATCCCCACTGTGTGCATCACTGCCCTACAGTATCGACCCATAAGTAGGAATTGAGTTCAATTTTCCTTTCAGCCCTTAAATACAGCAATTTCACCTTGAGATCCAATTAAAAGATTCTTGAAAAGTTTTCTGGATTTTTAAAAAAATAAGATGGACTGCAATGAAGCAGCAATTCTAGAGCTTCAGCAAAGGCAGGACAAGAAAAGGTAGGTGGACAAAGGGGAAAGGCCAGGAGAGGGATAAATTAGGAATTTGGGATTAACAGATACACACTGCTATATAGATATATAGATATAATAAACAACAAGGACCTATTGTATAGCACAGGGAACTATATTTAATATCTTGTAATAACCTATAATGGGAAAGAATCTGAAAAATATATATACACACACACACATATATGTATAACTGAATCACTTTGTTGTATACCTGAAACATTGTAAATCAACTATACTTCAATTAAAAAAAAAGAGGTAGGTGAAAAGAATTAAACTTAAATTTTTTTAAAGATGTCTTCTTAACAAAGTACACACAGTTTTTTTTTTTTTTTTTTTTTTTGCGGTACGTGGGCCTCTCACTGTTGTGGCCTCTCCCATTGCGGAGCACAGGCTCCGGACGCATAGGCTCAGCGGCCATGGCTCACGGGCCCAGCCCCTCCGCGGCATGTGGGATCTTCCCGGACCGGGGCACGAACCCGCGTCCCCTGCATCGGCAGGCGGACTCTCAACCACTGCACCACCAGGGAAGCCCCACACAGTACTTTATTTTCATTGAAACGTAGCCAGTGTTTGCTCTAGTATTAAATATTTTAATCCTAATAATTGAGAGTTCCTTCTGTGCTGGGCCCTGTGTGAAGCACTTTTCAAACATCTTATGATTCTCACATGAACCTTATGAAATAAGTATTTTTAAACCCCTATTTTGTAAATGAAAAAACTGAGGATTACAGGTCAGAGATGATAAGGATGGAGTGGAAATTCAGACCCAAATCCAGCTTCAAACTGTATTCAAACCATAACATTCACATCTGAAAGTCTAAATGTCAAATTATTAAAATGAAAACTTTCAAAAGAGGGAGGGCTGAGCTCTATGAGATCAAGAAGAGACACAAATCCCTATGCATAAAGTGAACAGCAAGGTGAGGACAAAGCCATGTTAGGAGATTAGGATTCTCTTAGTATTTTTTTTTTTTTTTTTTTGTGGTACGCGGGCCTCTCACTGTTGTGGCCTCTCCCGATGCAGAGCACAGGCTCCGGACGCGGAGGCTCAGCGGCCATGGCTCACGGGCCCAGCCACTCCGCGGCATGTGGGATCTTCCCAGACTGGGGCACCAACCCACGTCCCCTGCATCGGCAGGCAGACTCTCCACCACTGCGTCACCAGGGAAGCCCCTCTCTCAGTATTTTTAAAGATAATACAGGAGCTCT